TCTACTTTTAACTTCTTTTCATCTTTGGTTCTATCTTCCGGGAAATTTCCTCATGCTTATTTTCCAACTGGTCTATTGGATTGTATGCATTTGTTTTGTAGCACTCTGTTCTTATTTCAGGGATACAAATATCTTCTCTTTCTCTGAGGCTATTATTTATAGCTTTTTTTCCTGTATATTTTTGTCTGTGCTATAGGCTTCCTTTAGATATGTGGTGATTTTTGGGGTCTTGTTCAAATTTAACTAAAAAAATTAGAAACTGTTCATGTGGGTGGAGTTTGTTGAGATGTGGGCTTCATAGTAGGTGTTAAGGCATAGAACCCCACAATTTTCCTAGGTATTTATAGATCTTTTTTCATATCAGGTTAGGTTTTGTAGAGAGGAGTCTAGTCTACTTTCCTATCTGCAGGGATATAACCCTAGCTGCCATATTCTCTCAGGCAAATATGGGTAGGCACTGGGGTGGGGAGGAAACCTTCATGTCTCACACAGATATTCACTGAGTTCCTCTGTTTTTAGAGATACCCCTCTGCTCCCTGTGCAAGGCTTCTTAGAATTCATAATCCCTCTCCTTCAACCTCACCAGAAAGTAAACCTCCAATTTCTTGTCAGGTTTAGTCTCTCAGCTGGGTGAGAAGGAGACGGTTTAGGACACAGGTGTCAAACTCATTTTCACTGGGGGCCACATTAGCCTTGAGGTTGCCTTCAAAGGGTGGAATGTAATTTTAGGACTATATCCATGTAACTACTCCTCAATAGTTAAGTGAGAGCTTTGCACTGCTGCTGGCTAGGTGAAGGGCCAGATAAAACAAGGTGGAGGGCCGGATTTGGCCCGCAGGCCCTGTGTTTGCCACCTGTGCTCTAGGAAGTGTGACAGTCTCTGAAATGCAGGGTCCCTCCTGTTTTAGCCCCATCTGCGCCTTTACCTTCAGGGGCAGCGAGTCTCTCCAACTGATAAGCCCCTTTGAGGATGCTGAGTCATGAACAGGCCTGCCTCTTATTCTTTCCTTATGTAGACACTTCATTTTCCGTTTTCTCAAATTTGCTAAATCAGGTAACATCTACGCCTCTGTTTTTTATTGTCCAAAACTTGTCTTGATATTGCTCATCTGCTTTTAATCACTCTCCTTTGTCCTTGTCCTTATGGTTAAACCATGTTCAAAAGGCAAGTCCTGTGATAAAAGTATCACCCCTCCTTATATGTATAATATAAAATTTTATGAATCATTTTTTCCAAAAAGGAGGCTACTTTTTGGTGATAGTGTGAAAAGATGGGCTTTTTACTAATTTCAAAAAAGTATTTGCATTGTGTTCCTCTGATTTGCATTTAGAAATCATAAGACTTTTCTCATTTGTTGCTGTTCATCTGTTCCTTGGGTCATTTTCATGTCCTAATCTTTGATATAAATTTTGTACCTTATCAGTCTTTCTCACTCAGTTTTTTCACTTTCAACTCAAAAATGGAATTACATGTGTTTTCTGGTTAATGGCATGCATACATGGCTACAGCCACGAAACTGTGGCTAGAGTTAAGCTAACTTGCTTGCTGAAATACACCATAGAAACTTAAATTTAATTCATGTTCAGATATCTAAATAACATGGATATAATATATTGGTATAATATAAATTTAATTTCAGAGAACTTCATCTACAATAAATTTGTCACCAGGAGAAGTGGAAGAAGAGGATGACGATGAAAACAGCTGTGGGCCCTCGGGACTCTGGGAAGCGCTGACCCCCTGTAACGGATGCAGGAACCTCGGCTTCCCCATTCTGGCGCAGGTAACGGTTTGCTTTCCTTCAGGTGCACTACCACGGGAACATGGCTGCCTGTGTTTTGAAGCAAATCCCCTTTCCCCTCTGGGAATCCAATTAGTCTCTCCTTCACTCTGTAGTTTTTCTTCAGTTAAGGTCAGTAATATATTTATGTAACTTGCTCTCCATATATGCATATGCAAACACATACTTTACATAATTTTATGTGGTTGTTTTATTTTGGTCATGATGCCAGTTCCAGAAAACTTGAGTTGCTTATGCGATTTTAATTTTATGGTTCAGAAAGAGTTCATTTTTAAAAAATGCTATTTTGAAATCAAATCATGATTTTATTAAAATAATAGTAATAAATGATTTACAGAGAAATATGTTAGGATTCTTCAAGAGCATACTGATTTTTTTTTCTTAGCACAATGGAACATTGTAGAATAATGTGTGGCATTATTCAGTACAATCCAACAATGAGAGATGAACACTGAAGCCTTAACTATAATTTTGCAACCAATTTGCTACTAAGTCAATTTTAATTCTGTTGTCTCACTTTCATATTCCTGTTGTATGCTGTGGGCCACAAGCTCTTAGGGGAGTTTCAGAAGTAAGTAAAATAAGCCAAACAGAGTTAGGATATTAGAAACTACAATGAAAATATTTCTACACAGAAATGAAAAAAACACCTAATAATAATTTTAAAAAACAGTGCAATGGCAAAGGTATGTATGTGTACCTCTATAAAGCGTGGGTGGTAAAATAGTCCAGGACAGGAAATAATTCACAGTGATTGTTGGGAATAGTGTTATATTTCAAAAATGTTATTTTCTGTTTTTTAACAAATATGAAGCAACTGTGTCCAAGTAAGCACCATATTTTTCATGTCTATGTTATGGACAATTTGATGATGTGTACTCTCATTCCAATATTAGTTTATTGTGGAGAGCTAAATAGAATAATCAAATCAGCATGTAGTACTTAAAGATCTCTTCACCTTCACATGAACTGTTTATAGGACTTCAGGATGGTTTATGCTGACCATCACACAGTTGGTATCAATATGTACTTGACTCTGAGTTCCGTAAAGGCAGAAACCCTGTACTGCTCCTCATCCATGGCGTAATGCCAGCGTAGTTCCTGGTATGTTGTCAGAATTGAGTAGTAGTTGAATAAAGCAGTGAACAAATGTATGTATTCTGGGATTTCATTTCTTCACTTATGGTTTGTGCATATAGAGTTTCACCTCAGATCTTTAAGGGTCTAGGAAAAAGGAAATTAAGAAACTTAGGTTTTATTTTAGTAACAGACTCTTATCTGCTTAAAAGCTTACCGATAATTGAATGCCTTTATGTGTATATTTTTTTGTTTCATAAAATTAACTTGTTTGTATTTTATATTTTTAAAAATAGAATCCTTGCAAAGTCTTAGGGCTGTAACCCGTCAATAATATATGACTATATTTGGTTCTTCACCACTTTACTAACAGTTAATTTTGATTTTAATTTATTTTATTTTATTAGACTTGGTAGTAAGATTGGTAGCAAGTTGCTTCTGGTGTAAAAATCTTTGGTCATATTTCTGTGATGACTGGTATTGCTTCAATCATTGCTGTGTATTAATATTTAAGTAGTTATATTTGCTACAAAATGTTTCCCAGCACGCAGTGTTTTTTCTCTCAATTTGTATGTGTGTATGTGTAGTTTTTTAAACTATAAAATTCGTTAAACTTCTAAGTTTTTTTTCTTTAATTCATCTCACCTAGAATTCCTTTCAACAAATTCCAAATGTGGCTCTTTCTTTGTTTTTTACTTGTTGATACCTAGTTTTTCTATGACTTTGCATTTGACACATTCCCCATTACACTCCACCCACTTTGGTTTGTGTTTTCTTCGGAATCTCTCATTTCCACTCTCCTACTTTTAAAACCACATGACTCAGTTATGGTATTTTTATATATTATGTGATGGAAGAAATCATTATTACATTAAAACTGTTAGCTGACATGACTGTTTGCTTTAAAAAGTTTATATTTCTAATTACTATGTCAAATTTAAAAAGAATCCTTGTTGGGATTTTAATTGTTAATGCCTTAGATGTATACATTTACTTGAGACGCAGTATCTTTTTAAATATTTTTACTGTATTTAATCTAACAAACAAGTTTCGGATGCTCGACCAATGTTCTCATCTAGTCTTCTTTTACTAATGATCAATTTGTCGGTGGATTTTCTTTTAACGTTTATATATGTTTATATATATGTATGTATATATAGTTATAATAAAATTGTTTAATGTGTGATGGTGCAAAATTATAAAAATACTTTTGTATTTTACAATAGAATTAATTAATGGTTAATGCCATTAATATGGTATAATACATTTGTTATGACCCCAGGAGGTATGATATCAAATGTAGATTTATCCTATAACTATCAACAGCTTTGCACTCAGGATATTCTAGACATCTGATTTTGTTATTTATGCAATTTTAAGAAACTTTTATTTTGAAGTCATTTTTTCAGATCTGAAATACTTTGTGAGGTCGTTGATAATCATTAAGGCCATAAGCATGGTGCGTATTGGGCCTCATGAAATGCCACTGCCTTATAGTGTGGTATAGGAGACGTCGGGATGAGTGGAGTTAGTGTAGTGCTATGCAAATGTCTACATACTCAGGTTTGCTGGATTGGAATAAATTATATTTATTTTACATTCATAACTCTTAACTGAATTGGACCCAGCAAACATGTGTGAAATGTCTTCTATATGCAAAGCCCAGTGCTAAGCTACACAAGCATGAGGGTTATGGAAATCCGGATGTCATGGGAGCCCAGTTACCCATGCTCTCTGGTTCTGGGTTGGAGAACTATGTGGTGTATCACTTCCAGACTCTTTTTTCTTTTTTTCAAACGAGTTGGTTTAATTCCAGGTGGTACAGAATTATGGATGGAGCAGAGGCTGAAGAACACACTTTGACAGGGTTCTGGGCTGGGTCCACTCTGAGCTCACAGCCGAGGTTGAAATGGCAGAGTGAGAAGAGCTCGGAAGATGAGCCCCTGCATGCTGTTGTTATGATTATTTTTTACAAAAGTTTTTTTCTTAAATGTACAACAGGCTCCCAGATGACTCTTCATCCCAGCTATAGGTGGCGAGTGATGATGTTATGACAGGGAATCCAGATGTTAAAACAGGAATGGAATGAAGGATCACCAGTTCCTCAGTCCTGAGAACAGCTCACTTTTTGCCAGATTTCTTCATTCCACCCATGGCCAGGGGGCCCTTCCCCCTGGCCTTCCCTTTTCGCTCCTTAAGTTTCTTCTGCTCCTCTTTTTGCTTCTGCTTGAATGCCGTATCTTCCTCGTCTGTCTCCTTGGCCTGCTCCTTGGGCTTCCTCATGCCACCTTTGCGGCCAGACATGGTGCTTCTAGACTCTTAAATATATTTTTTACTTGCAATTGTCTTATACTTCTAAGACTTCATTTTCAGTTTTTGCCTAGATACTGAATTGGTCTTATATTCAGGTTTTATCTAACTTTTTATGTTTTTCTAGTTTTTATATGGCATTTTATACTTCCACTGTGACTGGATTATTGAAGTTTTTACAGGAAGCAATTCCTTTAAGATCCATGAAATTTTAGAATTCTAAGTAACATCAAGAAATTTAATAGAATGTGTTGAGAACTTTAGTTTAATTTCAAAGCAGTTTAGTAAGATTTAAGTTGGGCAAAGAATTAGAGGAGAATTCAAGAATGAAGAGACTGGAGGAATGAAGGCCTTTCCAAAAAGTATAATTAAACTCAAATTTGCTTTTCAACGCCCCTGACAATGGTAATCACTAACATTTCCACAGTGCCTATTATGTGCCAGATATTTCGCACGTATCGTGTCTAATTCTCAAAGTAACCATTTAAAAAAGGAAACAGGTGATCTATTCGAGGCCATAATGTTAAAATAGTAAAAAATATATTTGTCGTGTTGCTTTCCTGGCTTCATTTACATCATCCTGCTTCCTCTTGGTTGCTTCTGTCCCTGGGCATGTATTTTGGGATTTTTAGAGTTTTCTTTGGCTAATAGATATAGATCACAAATGAGTGAGGACCTTTGAGAGGAAGCAGTCTTTAGCATTTTTATCATCATCTGTTATTTGATTATAAATATCAAGTTAAGATAGTTCAGAACCCACTCCTGGCTGGCGTAGCTCAGTGGATTGAGCGCGGGCTGTGAACCAAAGCATCGCAGGTTCGATTCCCAGTCAGGCCACATGCCTGGGTTGCAGGCCATGGGCCCCAGCAACCGCACATTGATGTTTCTCTCTCTCTCTCTCTTTCTCCCTCCCTTCCCTCTCTAAAAATAAATAAATAAAATTTAAAAAAAGATAGTTCAGAACCCAAAGTTCTTGACAGTCGTCTCTGCCCCTGCAGCCACCATAATCACGCTACCCCCAGGGAAGAGGCCAGCAGCTCCTACCCATGTGCTGGGAGTATCCTCTGAAGACAAGAAGAGTTGAAAGCACCCAGGTTGGCTGCTCTTCTTCCAGATCCCCGAAGGCCGCTCCTGTTAGTGCTGTGGTTCTCTTCGGAGTCTGCCGACTGCCTCTTGTAACGCCTGCTCCTGCTACCAGTCTTGCCCTCTCCTCAGGCACTACAGGCTTTTGGACTGAAGAGTGGGAAGTCTTGAGTGCCACATTATGTGGGAGGCATGCGTTGAATTCATTCCTCCCCAGCATAACCACTCTAGGTGGTCCCAAACACTTAACGGTTCATGTGAAGATTCCTGGTGTCGACTTGACCTTGATCTCTTCCATAGAAATGAAAGGCATTTGCCTAGGAAGAAGACAAAGAAGTGAAATAAAGTGAGAACAGGAAGGTCTGCTCCCTTCTATTCCTACAGCTCAAACAAGGGCTTATAATAAGAGTTCTGAAGTCACAAGTCCACCCTCCCATTTGATGCAGGAATCCCCTCTCCAGTGTCTCCACAAAGAGCACAAGGATCGTTCCAGCTTTGCTCGAACCCTGCCAGTGCCAGAGAGAGCACTATTATAATCCACCAGGGAATATCCTCACACACTCTAAAAATACACTTGTGTTACTATTGCTGCTGGTAAAGTGGATGCATTTTAATATTTTCTAGCTACTGACCAATTGTGCACCTGCACACACCACACCACACTGCCACTGATGCACACAACAGTCAGTGCATGGCAGTCCTGGAGAGACGCAACATCCCACAGCATGTCAGCCTGCCTGCTTGGAGTCATGTACGCTCAAGAATAGATTGGATGGTGAGGACGTGGCAGTGGCAATACAATGTCGACTATGAAATTAAGAGTTGCTGAGAGCTAAGAAATCTCTGAAATACGGCCTTGGGGAACACTTTGGAAAAGCATTAGGAACCTCTCCAATGTGGCATGGCCTCCAAACCGAGGCTCATTCGGCCTTGAACAGTTCCAAATACAATGCATTTTCAAATGAGCCTCAGTACCAAAAACTCTGCAGGAACTTCAGCTGGTCTCGCAAAGCACCCTGGCCCTTCAGAGATTCTGCAAAGGCTTACCTCTGGGCTGTGTTCTTTCTCAAAGTATGTCCAGTGCATCATCAGCCAGAATGGCACGGGTACTGCTATAAACCTCCACTGGTGGTTTTAACGTGTAAACGAGGTATTCCCAGTGAGTGAAAAGATCTCATGTGTGAACGGGGACACAGTTGAAGGTAAAAAGAGTGGCCAGTGGCAAGCTTCAGGTGGAGCTGTTATTTTTGTTGTTATGGATGGATGCCTTGACAAATGTCAAGGGAAGCAGCCTCATTAGCTCTCAGATCTGTGTGGGCTTGTTACCTCTCTCCTGGGTGGCCAGTGGCATGACATCAGGTAGTATGAGGTAGGGGCTGGTATGGATGGTGCCCACTGTTACCGTTTGGACATGGCTGTACACATCAGTCACTTCTCTTCTGCTGACCTGCATGGAGTCGCTCTCAGACATCCGTGCATATTTGAGCATGTACTATGTACTCCCCTTTGTACAAGCATGGCTGCATTTTCCTTATGGGGGCATTAGACATGCCCTCTGCAGGGCCGCTTTTGGCTGTGTGCTACAGTAGCAGAGGTGGGCTGCCCACAGCTCTCTTTTATCAGGACAGCTCCCAGGGACCCCTCCACACCTTCCTTACCATACCTCGCTGAGTGTGCTGTTCCCCACGGCTCTGTAGCAGGGGGGCTAGCAGTGGTCTTCTCTACTCTCTATTTTATTAGAATTATTATTTCTATTAATACAAAGAATAAAGCTGTTTTTATTAGCAATGTCTATTTTCATAGCCATGATAATTTTGATATTTTGACACATCTCAAATTGCTGATGAGATTTTTAACCTTTTCCCTAGACATTTGTACTCTGTGCAGAGGAAAGAACCTCAAACATCAGAGCTATGCTCTTTTCTTTTTTAAACAAAAATTTTATTGTATTTTTTTCATTACCATTTAACCCCTTATATCCCTCTTCCCCCTGCAACCAACACACTGTTGACCATGAGTCCTTTTTCCCTTCGCCCCTTAACACCTGCTCCCTGATAGCTGTCATCTGCTCTCCATCTATAAGTCTGTTCCTCTTTTGCTTGTTTTTTCAGTTTGTTCATTAGATTCCACATATGAATGAAATCGTGTGGTACTTTCCCTGACTTGCTTATTTCACTTAGCATAATTGTTCTCCAAGTTCATCCAGGCTGTTGCTAAGGTAAATTTTTTTCCTCTTTATGATCAAGTAGTATTCCATTGTTTAAATGTCCTGTAGAGGAAAGAGCCTCAAACACCAGAACTATGTTCTATTCTTTACTCACTTTCAGATTTGATATAAAAAAAGGTATGAGAAATTTTGCCAGCTGTTATAAACATTATTAACTCAATAAGACTAAAATATCTTTATTGGCACAACAATATACCCAACACATACACACATACACACATATATAAGGCCATAGTTTTAAATGTATTGAAGATAACATTGGTTAATAAAAAGATAAGTTGAAAATGTACAATTGTATAATTATCATCAGTATATTGCATTCTGTGTTCACCCCCAAAATCAAATCCCCTTCATCACCATATATTTGACCCCCTTTACCTTTTACTCACTTCCCTCCTACCCCCTTCCCTTTGGTCATCACCACACTGTTGTCTGTGTCTACGTGTTTGTGTTTGTTTATTTGTTTATTCATTTGTTGCTTTCAGCTTTCTATCTCACATGTAAGTGAAGTCATCTGGTTCTTGATTTTTTCTGTCTCACTTATGTTGCTTAGCATGAGAGTCTCAAGATCTCTCCATGTTTTCACAAATAACAGTATTTCCTCTTTTTTATGGCTATGTACTACTCCATTGTATATGTGGACCCCATCTTCTTTATCCAGTCATCTATTGAAAGACACTTTGGTTGTTTCCGTGTCTTGGCCCCCGTGAATAATACTGCAATGAACATAGGGGTTTGAGTTGTCAACAAAACTTTATTCCCTGAAAACTGGGCCAGAAGACCCCTCAGGGAACCACGTGCCCCTAGTCCCTGGCCCCTGCTATGTTTGGAACCTATGAAGGGTACATGTATTTTTGTTGACTAAATGTTTTCAAATTATCTGGGTAGATACCCAGAAGAGGGTATCATATGGTAACTCTGTTCTTAATTTTTTGAGGAACCTCTGTACTGTTTTCCATGGTGGCTGTGCCAGTTTACATTCCCACCAGCACTGAAGGAAGGTTCTTTCTGCTCCGCAGTCTCTCCTGTACGTGTTATTACTACTTGTCTTGTTGATAGCAGTCACTCCAACAGGTGTGAGGTGGTATCTCACTGTGGTTTTGATTTGCATTTCCCTAATGGCTAGTGAGGTTGAGCATCTTTTCATGTATCTGTTGCTCATTTGTTTGTCTTCTTGGGACAAGTGTCTGAACTCTCAAGGTTCATAAGTTTAGAACCTATGCACCCATCTCTGCTCCTGCCCCTTCCCTCTTTCCCTGTTCTCTCTGACTCGCCCACATTCAGCTGTTTCGATGCACAGATGTCTCTGCCATGTTCATGTGTTGAGCGGGAAATCCTTTGTTGAGTTATAGCTGTTCCACTTGTTGTAACTCAAAGGGGAGAGACCAGGGAACCTCTTGTGCCACCTTCTTCTAATGTCAACCCAAAGTTATAGTTTTTGAGTCTTTAGTTTGTTCTATAGGTTGAAATGAACATATTTCTTCCCTTCATATTAAAATTTCTGGTTATTTATGGTAATGTGAGTATTTTCCCTTTATTTATTGAAAGGCCTATTCACATGTCAATAGTAATTCTTACTGGTCTGCTTGAAATCCTTTCACTAAAAAAATAAATAAATAAAGTCCTTGTTAGCTTAATTTCCACTTTATGTTTATATTACTTATGCTTACCTAAAGCTAATATTTTAATAGAAGTAACATTTTAAAAGTATTCAAGTGGTTCTGTTTCTTTCTTTTTCTTTTTGAAAGAAATAGTCAGCATTGGGCACGGTATAATTTAATTTAGGTGCTTTTTAAAAAAATGAAGTGACGATAAACCAATTTGCTTAAAAGCACTCTCATTCCACACACATTTATTACCAGAAGTTTATCTCAGGTTTCCATTAAAGCACTGAATTAATTGCCTTGTATCCAGGGAAACCAGAAACTATTTTACTTGTAGGGCCTGTGGACTTTCAGAATTTTTTCCCAATCTAGTCATTAGACCAACAACAGCAGAACCCCTGTTATTTGGCTTGATAACCATCATGTGCAGCATTCTAGGCAAGTATATCTCTATTCATGAATCTTATCTGAATTTGTCTAGCTATTTAGAACACTACTTTATTAGTGTTTGCCTCAACACTTAAGGAGCTCAGGTTGTAAATAAAAGTCTACTTTAACCTGAGATTAAGAAATTCTTTTCATGTAAACGCAGCAGCTTTCTTTCTGTATGCTTGCTCTTAGAACAGATTTCTATACAGTCAGTCATTAGATAGTTTTAATATCAGTGTGTGCTACCCTCCTCTGCATTCGAGTTTAAGTCATTGGGTAAGTCATTTAACCTCCCTACATCCCATTTTCATCATCCTTGAAATTGAGATGATTCTTTAGGTATGTTTCAACTGCAAAATAGTTGTGGTTTTGTCAGAGGGGTCCAAATGCTCCAAACAATAATTATGAGTCAAAGAATTATTCAGATACTAACCACTTTAGGAATTGTGATTCAATATCTAGTCTTATTTTATTGCTGAATTTCTTCTTGCTGAAACTTTTAAAAGAGCCAGCATTTGAACTGTGGAAATGACAGAAATGGTAGTTTAGTAAGCTGCGCAGTCAATGGGGACAGTGCTCAACACTATGTAATTGAAAATATAGGTTAAATGTTTTAAACAGAACTCAGTTAACAACGAACATGGCTGCAGTAGGCAGATAAATCCCCCTCAAATTGTCCCCATTCTCATTTTTACAGCCTGTGAATAGGTGACCTTTCACAGCAAAGAGATTTTATAGAGGTGATTAACTTAAGGATCCTGAGATGGGGGAGATATCCTGGGTTATCCAGGAGGACCCAATTTAGTCGTTATGGTCCTTGTAAGAGAAAAGCAGGAGGGCCAGAGTCAGAGAAGGACTCGGGATGATGGGAGCAGAGGCTGAAGGGATGCAGCCCTGAGCCCAGGGGATGGAGCTGGCTGAAAAACAGGAAATGGATTCTTCTCTAGGATCTCCAGAAGGAACCACCCCTGCCAGCTAGCTCCTTGAGTTGTGAACTTTTGACATGCGGAACCGTAAGAGAACAAATTTGTGTTGTTTTAAGCTATTAAGTTTGTGGTGATTTGTCTCAGCAGCCCTGGAAAGCTAATACAGATGTTGGTACCAGGAAGTGGGATACTGCCGTAACAAATACCCAAATGTGGAAGTTGCTTTGGAAGTATGCAGTGGGTAGAGGATGGGAGGATTTTGAGGAGCATGGTAGAATAGGACTAGACTGCCTCTTAAAGATACTGCCAGTGAGGGATCAGAAGGAGGTGACGTGGCAGAGAAAACCCATTTTGTCTTAGAGAACACCTAAATTGTCATCAACAGAAGGCTTGTAAAAACATGGATATTAAAGGCGTTGCTGTGCGGGTTCAAAAAAAATGAGGGGAATGATCAAAAACCTGTAGTAGCTTAGAGAATAGCTGAACCATCACAGAGAGAATGCTGGTAGACATGAATGCTAAAGATGCTTCTGGCAAGGACTGAAAAGTAAGGGTCATGTCAGAGAAAACAGGAGGGAAGGAGATACTTGTTATATAATAGCAGAGAGCCTGGCAGAATTGTGTTTCATAGTTATGTGGAAAGCAGAACTAGTAAGTGATGAACTTGGATATTTAGCTCAGTAGACTTCCAAACAAAACTTTGAAGGTTTGGCTTGGTTCGTCTTCTAGTAAAACATGAGAGGAAAGAGATCAATTGAATGAAGAACTTTTGAGCAAAAAGGAACAAGGGCTTGATGATTTGGGATTTTTTAAAAAAATATTTTATTTATTTATTTTTAGAGAGGGAAGGGAGGGAGGAAGAGAGAGAGAGAGAGAGAGAGAGAGAGAGAGAGAGAGAGAGAGAAACATCAATGTGCGGTTGCTGGGGGTCATGGCCTGCAACCCAGCCATGTACCCTGACTGGGAATCGAACCTGCAACACTTTGGTTCGCAGCCTGTGCTCAATCCACTGAGCTACACCAGCCAGGGTAGATTTGGGATTTTATTAAATGATCCAGACTGAAAAAGTATGCTACAATTTCTACATTAACTGTCAAGAACGTGTGTTCTGGAGAAGACCAAAGTGTTGCTGGATGACTTTTTTCTAGTGCCTCAGTAGCAGCAAAATAGCAGATTATTCAATCACACAGAGGCCTCTTTGGAGAGATTAGGCGTATGTCCCATAGGCCTCTTCATTCATTTTAGCACAGGTTTGGGATGGGGTTAACCAGGCAAGACCTGCGGAGGTGTCTTGTTCACTGGAATGATTTCCTGTGACATACCTGGAGTACCCACAAGGTTTTTGAGTTTGGTGTAATCAGTAGAGACATTGCCAGCTGGGAATGAAAGGAACA